CAGCTGTGTTCCTGAGCAGCTTCACACCACAGTGTACGGGAAGTTCTAGCTGAGGGCAGGGACAGTGACCGTCCACAGGCCCCCGGGGCAGGGGCAGTTGCTGGCCACACATTAGCAGCCGAACCTGCTGGGTGACTAACCTCATTCCAGCCCAGCCAATTGCATTCCATATGTAATTACACTTTCCTGCCCAAAGGCATCCCTCTTAGTAAAACGGGCACCACACTAAAAGCATTCCTGATGGGACCATTAGGGTCGAGATGGAGGCTCTGAACAAGAAGCCAGGGGAACCCAGTCATTGAGTTTCGGGGTGTCCAGTCTTAACGCTGCCTTTGTCGTTCTAGATGGAATCATCTTTGGAGGGAGGCGGCGTGTGGGCCTTTGGGTAAGTGCGTGCTCACATGATTTGACGAGGGCTTCTGGCCAGCGAGAGAGTGGTATGTTCATCTCGATCTAGAGGACTTGTTCTAATCCTGGGTGCTCTTCATATGTTACCACTTTCATGATAACTGCTGGGAATACATCCAACTAAATTTATTCTTTTTCTCTCCAGAGAAGATTCCAGAATCTCTTAAAAACTCTTTATGGCCAAGATGAACTCAGCCAAGTCTGGGTGAAACGCCAGAAGGTCCCCGGAATGTCTTGTCTGAAGCTGTGGGTGCGGAGTGACCTCAGCAGGGCCGGGTGTGGTGAGTCAGGATGGCCAAGGAGAAGGTTGCTCCCACTCCCCTGGGTGGTTTAAAAGGCACTTAGAAACGTAAGGATTAATGGGCGCGGACTTCCTCTCTCTGCCTTCTGCCTTCCTACCTGCCCCTCCGTCACCCCTCCTCCCCTTCCTTCCTGCTCTCTTTCGTACATTCCAAATGTTAATGTTATAGTATAATAAAAAAACTAAGACAAAACTTTAAAAGAACAAAAGTTTTTGGTTTTTGAATTTTAATCTCATCACAGACAGGAAGGTAAGAAAGGAGACTCGGGCACCACCAACCGCGCACGGACCTCCTGTGCTGTCACGGGCAGCAGGCCCTCCCGCGAGCTTGCAGGAGAGCCAGTGCCGGTGCAGCTGTGGCACCGTCTGTGAGCCCCATGTCACGCGGGCACGGTGAAAGGCTCCAGTGCTCTCTGTGAGCTCCGAGCTCCAGGGTGGCTGGGCCTGGGGACAGGGCAGGGTGTGGAGAACATGAGGGGAGTTAAGGAATATGGGAGGGCGAGGGGGGTCCTGTAGGACCTCGTTTTCACTCTGAGGTAAGAGCCAGGAGAGTGCTGAGCAGGTGGCTGATGGAATTGCACAGATTCTTGAAGCTGCCACTGCCCTGAGAATGGCCTGATGGGCTGGGGTGGAGGCAGGGGGCCTGATGGAGGCTGCTGCTGTCCCCCAGGTGAGAGGTGACGCTGGGGAGGGGTGGGTGAAGGAGGGTGCAGGCATGTTTGGAAGACAGAGCCCATGGGGTTTATTATAGACTAGAGGCCCGGTGCACAAAAATTTGTGCCCTCGAGGGGGTCCCTCAGCCCGGCCTGTGCCCTCTCGCAGTCTGGGACCCCTCAGGGGATGTCCATCTGCTGGCTTAAGCCTGCTCCCTGGGGGGATTGGGCCTAAGCTGGCAGTCAGACATCCCTCTGGCAGCCCGGGAGCCCTCGGGGGATGTCCACTTGCCAGAGGGGAGCAGGCCTAAGCTGCAGTCGGACATCCTTAGCGCTGCTGAGGAGACTGGAGAGGCTCCCACCACCACCGCTGTACTGGCAGCCGTCAGCCTGGCTTGTGGCTGAGCAGAGCTCCCCCTGTGGGAGCGCACTGACCACCAGGGGGCAGCTCCTGCATTGAGCATCTGCCCACTGGTGGTCAGTGTGTGTCATAGTTACCAGTCATTCCCAGTC